CTGGGGATTCGAACCCGCCACCTTAGGTGTATGTGGCTGGCGCCTTAGCCGCTTGAGCCACAGGCGCCGAGCCGAAATCCAGATTTCTTAAAATAAAAATGAATCTTGGGTGGCGCCTGTGGCTCAAAGGAATAGGGCGCAGGCCCTATATACCAGAGATGGTAGGTTCAAACCCAGCCCTGGCCAAAAACTGCAATAAATAAATAAATAAGAAATCTTAAAAAGGTAAAAATCAAATTTTGGGTAGCAATAAAAAAAAAATGAATTTGGGGGCCAGGTGTCGTGGCTCACACCTGTAATCCTAGAACTCTGGGAGACTGAGGCAGGTGGATTGCCTGAGCTCATAAGTTTGAGACAAGCCTGAGTCAGAGCCAGACCCTGTCTCTAAAAATAGCTGGGCATTGTCGTGGGTGCTTGTAGTCCCAGCTACTTGGTAGGTTGAGGCAAGAGAATCACTTGAACCCAAGAGTTTGAGGTTGCTGTGAGCTATAATGCCCCAGTTCTCTGAGGGCGACAAAATAAGACTCAAAAAAGTTTATAAAAACAAACCAGAAAAGCTGCCCCACTCAAAACAAAGTCTAACTTTCCTATATACAAAGGTTGCTAAAGATCAGTAAAGACTGACAATCTAATAACAAAATAGAGAATTGAGAATGGGCAGCTCCCCAAAAGAGAAAATATAGACATCCAATAAACCAAATACTTGCCAGGTCTCACTTAAAAAAAAAAAAAAAAAGAAAGAAAAAGAACAGAAAAAAAGCAATGGCATAATCTTTTTTTTGCTATTCAGGCTGGCAAGTTTTAAAAACTGATAGTACAAAGTGTTGGCAAGCAGGTAAGATAATAGATATTTCTGTATGGTAAAAACTTTTTGGCAGACTTAATTGGCCCAACAATTCTACTTCCAGGAATATTTCTCACCAGTGCTCAAAGATTTAAGAGCAAAGATGCTCACTGTGGCATTGTAATAGCCACATGCTAGAAAGACAGCCAGTTTCCAGAATAAGGAAGAGCTACATGTACTGGACACACCATGTGCCCCAGACACACTGATCAATGGAAAAACAGGTTGCACAACAGCATCAAGAGAAGATTCACGGCTCGTCGCCTGTAGCTCAAGCAGCTAAGGTGCCAGCCACATATACCAGAGCTGGCGGGTTCAAATCTTGCCTGGGCCTGCCAAACAACAATGACAACTACAACCAAAAAATAGCTGGGCGTTGTAGTGGGTGCCTGTGGGGCAAAAGAATCACTTCAGCCCAGGATATGGAGGTTGTTGGGAGCTGTGATGCCACAGCACTCTACCTAAGGCAACAGCTTGAGGCTGTCTCAAAAAAAAAAAAAAAAAAAAAAAAAGAACATTCACATGTTTGTAAAAGATAACTTGGTTGGTTTATGCAATAGAATACAATATGATACAATGTTCACTAAGCTGCCAGCAATGGTGACCCCAGAGAGGTGGGGAGAGAAGGTACTCTCACTTTATTATATACACACACAGACTTTTTAAAATGAGTATATATTAGTCTAGTAAGCAGAAAAATACGTAGTACAAATAAAAACAAATCATGATTAGTAAAGCATTTCTCATAATTACTTTAAAATGTCTTAGCATAATGGTGTGTATAGCTATAATTTATCTATCCTTATTCATACAATGTATGAATTAAAGTAACCCATAAAGTCCACTATTATGAACAGCATAGTCCAGTTTTCATGTGGTCATAACTTCCTTTCCATGTTGCTGTTCAGCTCCAGGCACAGCGTGACAGACCATGGATAAGAACAAACTAACTTAGCCAGTTGTGTTCAATCACCTGGTGTCTCCTGGTTGCCATGACTGAGTAGATGGGTTAACTGACAGAAGGCAGGCCAGATCCTTGAAGGATTCATCTATGCTGGCTGGACCAGTCTCCAAGCCTCTATCAAAATCTGAAGTATACAAAAGTAGCCAAAATGTGCACTGGGGAGAAATGGGTATCTTCTGCAACAGAGCACAGATAAAAGGGATAAGCTGGACCATTTATAGATTTCAGAAGCAGGAGGCCAACCTTGAGGGCAGAAGAAATGCTCATGAGGGTCCAAGGAAAGGGGCAGTTCCTGGGCCTCTGCTGTTGGCCACTGCTCCACCCACCATGGTTGGGCCACACCATGTCCTGCCTGGCCTCCTCACACGACCACTACCTCTAGCATTTCCTCAGAAAATGGAGGCCTCACACAACACCCCAAACCAGAAAACAGGCACGGAGTCCCCTGGGGCCAGTGATTACCAACAGCAACCAGATTACTATAAAGATGGGGGAAACCATGGCTTAAGAAGGGTGGGGGTGGAGAGGGTTGGGGATGATTAAATTTTCTTAAATGCAAAATTTTCCTTCTATTTTCCCCCATCATTTGCAGAAATTTTGGTCAAGTCCAAACGTAATTTAAAACGAGGTAGGTAGGTTCTCTGCTCGTGCCTTCGTAGTTGTGACTGTCCAGGCGTGTGCTGAGAAAGCACTAGTCTTCCAGGCAGGGGCAGTGCCAGGGTGGGCACCAGTGACTGGTGGAGCTTCTCAGTTGGCTATTTTCTCAATCTCATCCAAATCATCTGTGTCCAGTCTTTCTATCTTCTTAT